AGCAGCGCCCCTGCTCCATGCCCCCCCCGCCCAGGAGGCAGCTGGCACCCCCCCCTGCCAAGAGGGGCTGGCGCAGCCCCTGGTGCCCCCCACTCACCACGCACCAGCCTCTGCTCCTGCACCATCAGCGAGCGGTACTCGCCCCACTTTTCATACAGGGTTTGCTGTAAGACAGGGGCAGACGGGTGAGCGACAGCCCTGCCTACAGGGGGGCATGCGTGTGCAGGTGTGTGCCCCCGCCCGCTCACCTTCAGGTACTGCAGCCGGGCCTCAAGCTCCGCTCTCCGGATGGACGTCCCGTACAGCGTGTCGAGCCTGCGTGGGCACAGCCAGGTAAGCAAGGCAGCAGGCTGCGGCCCCCCCCGTGCCCCAGCCCAGGGCTCCAATGACCCCACCCCACCTGAGCACGTTTCCCGAGGCCTTGATGATCTCCACGATCTCTCGGTGCCGGATGCCCTCCACATTCAGCCCATTCACAGCTGTGATGCTGTCCCCTGTGGGGCAGATGGCAGGCTCAGTGTCCGGGCACCGTGCCCAGCAGGACTGACACCAGCAGGACAACCCTGCCGCGTGGGAGCCACACGATGCCCCCCCAGCTCCTCCCGGCTGTGGCACAGGAGACCCTGGTGTCCTGGCTCCACCTCCCCTGCTCCAACCCCTGCACAGCTGGGGCAAGAGCCTGGAACATCGGCTCCCAGCCGGGACTGTCACCAGCCCTCCCTGCCCCCACTAGGATGGCTCCCCTCACCCCACTCATCCCCTGCTGCCCAGGCCCCATGTGGGAAGGCAGGACAGCCACGGTGGGGATAAGGGCAGCCCTGCAGGCAGGTGCTGGTACCTTCCCCTCCCCACACCATGCCCCACAGGCTCTGGCAGGGCAGGGGCTCCAGCAACTGCTGCACCCGCTCCCTGCAGCTCATCCCCATTGTCAGACCCAGATGCCCGGGTCCCTCTCACCACCGCCCCAGTGCACATACCTGGCTTGAGCCCGGCGAGCTGGGCTGGGCTGCCCTGGTGCACGCGGCACACGAAGGTGAACATCTCCACGCTCCTCTTGTCCTGGTGGTGGAGGCCATAGGTCTGCAGGGAAGAGCAGCAGGCGCTGGTACAGCTGGAGGGGCAGGGACC